CACAACTGAATGATCAGAAATCAGAGGATCGAAGATATTGTAATGGTTAACAATGTTTTCTTCAGATCGCGTTATAATTAAATCCAGTGTGTGACCACTTGCATGTGTTGATCCAGAAATGTACTGCTTCAAATCAAAGGAAGCGAGAAGATCCACAAACCGTTTGGTAAGAGGGTCATTAGGATTGTCCAGATGAAAATTGAAATCAAGAGTTGCCCGGGTGATACAATAATTCCTTCCAAAAAGGATGAGAAGGAGAGAGATGAAGAATCACTAATATACGATTGTAAATGATGCAATTTGATTGGCTGCTCTACTCGCTATCTATTTAACAAATAGATAATTTTTTGTCGTTGTCTGTTCAGTTATAGATGCACAGTATGACGTCATAATGTGGAAAGAACAGAAAAGTGGTTCACTAGACGAGTGGGTGAAAAAGTAAAAAATTCACAAATATCACGCCTACACGCATTATCAACACAAATAAGGGAATGCTATTGGATAAGGTTTTGTGTGACGTAATTCCGTGTGCCTGTCTTCTAATAGATCATGGCTCTCGGCCAAAGAAAGTGCTTGAATTATATAAGCGAGTAGCAAAACAATCTTTTCCTGGTGCATTTAAAAAATTGCTTCTGGCCCGCGTTTTTCTGAGGACGAACTTTTGATTGTTTATTTGAGACTCTACCAAAACAACTAGATTACTCGCTCTCGATTTTTATGAGGTGATAGAAATCTCGAGCTCGTAATTTAATTGTTAAGTAGATCGATGTACGTGATAATCATGCTAGCTAGTATTTCATGGTTATACTTAATAGTAATTATGCTAATATATTTCGTTACTACGCGTCATGGAATTATAACCAAAACCAACCCCACAGCCGGCCACAGTTTAACTTAGGATAGTACCGATACCAAAAGCTCAAACGAGCACTCACAATTGATATATCATCAAGTATTAGACCAAATGATCTTCCACGTTCAACCAGAGCTTCTCGAACTTTGTACGAAACCTAAAATCAAAGCAACAAATAGTTAATAATAACACATGCAGTTGACATAATGAGCAATCATAACGAAGGGATTAACCTAGGAATTATCTATAGATCTACAATTTTTTGTCCCCAAGTGAATACATGCAACTATACTAATCTGGTATCCCTCCTTGAGACTAATTCATCCCAAATTTGGATGTTCAATATTCTGATTCAACATTATGTAAACTTTGACAAAATTGGAAAATATTATACTTATATAGAAATTATTTCGTGCGCACTCAAGCAGATTCCAGGAATTAGTGTATAATGACTACCCTGAATATCTCTATGGCTCATCTCTACTACTGTATGTACAGTAAGATTTCAATTGGGACTAATGGTTCTGTGTCCTTCATCTGTCATTGAAAATGCAAATATTCATTGGCGAATTCATTAAATGGACCTTTAAAGGATTAGTGTCACACCAGGAATTCGCGGGCTCAAACTCCTCTTGGCGAGCCTGGAAAGTGTTTACAATCCGTCTTATATCTCATTTGTGTCGGTTTTCTTTGATCGTCCGAGGTTTATAAACGCGAGAATTTTTCATCAAAAATTTTTGAAAATGACAAAATATGTTAGAAAACCTCCACAAATGAGATATAAGTTAGTTATAAACCTCGAAAGTCGGTTTATAACTGATATAGGCCTATTGCCCTCGGACGCTGCGCGTCCTCAGGGGCAATATATCAGTTATATAAAACCTCCTTCTCGGTTTATAACTCTAACTTATATTTAAACCATCCTTTTATAATGATTGCTCTTTTTGTCTGATTTTTATCAGAAATGTACAAAACAAGGTATTTTTATTGCTATTTGTTGTATTTGAGTAAAATGTAAACAATAACAAAAGGCCTCAATGCATGACCCTGACACTAATACTTTAACCTTATATAACTAAAATTTTGATCTAGACAAAAATTTCATCCCAGCTTGAAAGAGCATCACAAAATTAGTAATATTCCAAAGTTTTTGTTACGAAATGTTGTAAAATGCGGATAATATAGCCCTACCAAGTTTGCCGTTTTTCAGTAATTTTGTATTACAAACGGGAAATTGATACCCCCAATCGGGTGTTGGGGTATCAATTTCCCGTTTGTAATACAAAATTACTGAAAATTGCAAATTTCGCAGGGCTATATTATCCGCATTTTACAACATTTCGCAACAAAACTTCGGGATATTACTAATTTTGTGATGCTCTTTCAAGCTGTGATGAAATTTGTGTCTAGATCAAAATTTTAGTTATAAGGTTAAAGGTCCATTCAAATGCTGTCTTTGTTCTTTTACTGTACTCAATGCCTGATGAAAGAAGAAAACATTTGAAAATAATTACCACTTCTCTCTGTGTGATCAGTTCACTGGCATCAAACTGAGCCTACAAAGGTAGCATTGACCATACCTTCAATTATTGTTATATTTTTGTATGATTGTATGAATAATAAATAAAATTCGGCAATTCCACGTGAGAGCTGAGGAAAACTCAAACAATTAAACCAGGAAACTTCAATAAAAACAAAAACTATATAGTATTGCACGTTTTATTGAAATGCTGATTTCGAACTGTCCTACGAAACCGGGCCAGGCCTAGATCTGATATGAATATGTAAAGTATTCGTACTACAATTTAAGACGAAGTGAAAACACTTGGGAGTGTACCAGCAGGGCTCGAAATAACGTTCCCGATCATGGTGATCGGCGATGAGGACTTTTTGCCGATCAAATAAAAATCTGGCCGATCAGGAGCATTTACCCTCATTTCCTTCAAAAAATTCTAAATATGCCAGTGGGCATTGAATACACATTTGAAGTTTAACTTTATTTCAAATTGAAGTTTAAATCTATGACATTTGTGGACTTAATAAACTTTATTTTATTATAACACTTTAGTTTAACACACAGTTTTAATTATACCATTGCATTTTTTCACACAAAAGCAAGAAACACAGCAGCATTATCAATTAAGAACTAAAACGTATTATTTTATATTAAAAGAGAAAATCCTACTCAAAAAATCCTATCAATTTGAAATTATTATACAAAGATACGTTCGTCGTCAGCGGTTCGGATTGCAGACTGTTACTGTTGAAAAGACGACAATATTTCGTGTAAATTTGTTTTAATAAAAGTAAATTAATTACTTTAGAGCGAGAATAGTACTGCTGCCTTTCCTGTCGTATGACTCGTATCAACTAAATAAGAGCTTTTCGCGTGTTTTTAAATGTGTTTTATGTTTACTTTTATTTGTCTTTTACCGTGTACAGGTAAGCATGTCTTTTAGACAATGCTCAAATATATTTCTTGCCGATCAAGGTGAACGGCAACGTTGATTCTTCACCGATCAAAAACAATTTCCTACCGATCATTGATCGGCCGTTATTTCGAGCCCTGGACCAGTGTCAGTTTTCTTTTACTACAATGTACAGCGGCTACAAATAGCATTATTATCAAACAGTTTTTTCCATTCAAGGTACTGTATATTGAAAAATACCCATATTATTTTGTCTCAAATGTAATGTTTACAACAAAGAAATGCCCAATAGGGAGTGTTCATTATTTATACCCGGGGTTGGTACCGAAGAGAAATGGGTTGGGTAAGCCAATTTTCTGGGGTATGAAGGGTTGGGTAAATATTTTTTGAACAAAGCCTATGGTTGGGTAAATTATTTTCAATACAACCTTGAATTGAACAAAATATGAAAATCCTTTATTTAACAAAATGGGTCGTTCCAGGATTTATCCATTCATTCCCGACATAGAAAACTAAACTCCAACTCCCCATCCCCTATGATTATAACAACGAGATATGGTAGGACTGCAGGAAGTTGGAGGCGTGGGAACATAATATGAACTTGTGAAGGTACAAATGATTATATTTGACATTCAGTTAGTGCACCAATATATTTGACATTCAGTGAATATATTTGACATTCAGTTAGTGCATTTGCATAGTACTGTTTATACTATAGTGGCCTAGCTTGTATAATAATATATATGTATATATGTAAAATACTTGTATAATTTTGAAATTGGGTTGGGTAAAATAAAAATCCAAGTCATGCAATAGTTGGGTAGGGGAAAAAATGGTTGACTGAAAGGGTGGGTGGTTGTTTTTTTCTCTTTTCGATTAGTTTCTCTTCGGTACCAACCCCGGGTATAAATAATGAACACTCCCTTAGCCATTTCCTAATCGAGCAGAGGACTGGGTCTAGTCACTTGTTTGGAGGACAAAAATAAACAATATGCTGAATATGGCTAGGAAGTTTTCCTACATTCCTAAAGTTATTTGTGCAGCCTGAAACGCAATAATTATAATAAGGCATCTTTTAATATGTCTCTCCAAACGTCCCTCCAAACATCAACTAGACCCAGTCCCCTGCTCAATTGGGAAACGGCTAATTACAAAATCCATATCGGCATGTATTCCTAAAATGATGGGTTGTTCCTAAAAAGATCCACACTCTCCCTACGGAGGAGATTTTTGCCGTCCGGAAGGGAAGGAAAATTTTTTTGATAACAGCAAGTGTATTAGGACGTCCGAAGGGAGTAGGGGTAGGTGGGGGGTTGACTAACCAATTTCCTCGATATGAAATGAATAACAAGACAATTTAATGCAAAATATCGCAGGCTCAAATACTACTGTGAAAGTATTGGTAATTCCTCTGATATTATTCATTTGGTAATCCTACAGTACTGGTACTGAATATTTGGTATTCAATTTGGTAAATACGGAAGATTATATATAGTATACTGACCACAATGGCTTTCAACACCTCTGTCGTAATGGATGGTAACACTCTCTCGTCATAATCTTCGCCAAGACTCATAAATATTCCTGGTAATCTCTTGGCTTCTGGTCGGAATAATATCCTCAGGGTGATGTTCACGTTCTGTAAATCTAAAAGAAAGGTTTTAGTTACAGTATGATTGTACTGGGTTCGTTTGTCAAACAAAGACGTAATACATACGGTAGTTTAAAACTATCTTTAACGTGACTAGATATGATTAATTAAGACAAACAAACGTTAAACAAACCACATTTTTGTGAAAAGAGGGAAATTAATTGGAGGAAATATGAGGAGCTCTTTGGAAGCTTTCGGACCGTGGTTGAGATCAGGTTTTCGTCTGCGTATAGCAAACCGAATACCACTGAGACTAAAACTAATATATATTCACAAAAATAACGTATTATTTATAAAATAAATAAAAAAACTGGTATTCTGTGGTACTGTGATATTCTGTGGTGCATACACCTGTACATGAACGAGAAAAGTGAAGCCTAACTGCCTAGGAGGCAGAAATTGACGTCCAATAGCTACAAAGGTTGTAAACAGTTTTAATACCATTTTTCCAGACCGTATTCATAAAACCATGTTATTCTTTAAATCGATGTCAAAATACAAAATTCCAGCACACTCTTTGCCTGCCTTGTGTTAATAACCATGCAAACAAAAACAATAGAAAGAGATTGGAACTGACGTCCAATAGCTCTTCAATTTCTAGCCTGCGAACAGGCTCTTTGAATTGAATTAGAGCCTGCTCTTTGAATTGAATTTCAAAGAGAATTCAAAGAGAGCCTGTTCGCAGAGCCTGTTCGTAGGCTATTCAGTTTCTACCAATCTGGGGCCGGTTGTATCAAGCACGTTTAGCTCAACGGTGGATGACTCTCGTATTTCTCGTGAATCAGTCAACTTAAATATTGTGCACTGAATATGTAGTTGTAAACATTATCGTTGTATTAAAGGGAAATGGCAATATATTTTTTTATTTTCTCGTTTGAAAGAACATTTAAAACCATATAGAAAACTTTTTTACCGTTTTTTCATATCTTGCTTACTTCTACAAATATTTTAATCGAAAGAAATGAAATGTCCGCCATCTTGGATTTTTGTGGATATGCATGTTGTCACAACAGGGGTCACGCAATATTTTTTTCTAGACAACCACTACTCATTTTGCACTGAAAATTATACTCTGTATGCCCTTGGAAATATCAAGATCACTTGAAACCTTTAAAACATCTACCAATCAATATTTGGCAGCAACGAATACTTTTATATGGTTAATCCCTGTTGTGACGTCACCAAAACTACCGTTAATGAGCTAAAAAAATTATCCAAGATGGCTGACATCTCATTACTTCAAGTGAAAATATTTCAAAAACTAAGGGGGATATGAAGAATCGGTAAAAAAAGTTATTTAATAGTTTTAATTGTTCTTTCAAATGGGAAAATAAAAAAAAATATTGCCATTTCCCTTTAAGGTTCAAAACTTTTAGTTTGGTTGCTAAATGAATCTATGAAGTTTTTTAGCGAACAAAATATCTGAAATCTATCAATCGAGTTCATGCGCTATAAATTGATGTTATGTGCTATACGTTGATGTTATGCGCAAATACATCAATGTCATAAACCGATACAACTAAAAGATAAACCAATACAACTAAAAGATGAGGAAACGGAAGTAAATACAAATAAAGGATGAGGAAACGGAAGTAAATACAAATAAAGGATGAGGAAACGGAAGTAAATACAAATAAAAGATGAGGAAGCGGAAGTAAATTGGAAAAACGGAAGTAGAGCGACTAGCTCGGCAAAATCGCGCGTGCCAAGTGGCGCCAAGCTAGTGAATACAATAATGCATATTGAAAAACATAAAACATGGCAGAAGAGAAACAGGGCAGAGTACCAAATGTTCAGTCAATCTTTAGCGCGGTGACCAATTTACAGTATTCTTCGCAAACACGTGAAGAAAACGCAGTATCACAAGGTGGTCCAGTGCAGCAGTTCACATCGTCTGTACCAAATAATGGGTCTGTGTGACTGTGTATAGATAATGTGTGTATGATTCGGTGATTCTTATTGTTAAAACACTCAATGTGCGTTCATACTCTTCTAATCTACGACAACAAAAGTCTGGCGAGTCACAATGATTGCGACTTTGTTCAGCATTTCTTATTAAATCAACCAATTCACGAAAAAAGTTTTCTGTATTAGGAAGCCAAATGCGTGGTCCAAGGAGACGCCATTGTTGTATGTCGGCACTTCCGCTTCCTCATCTTTTGGTTGTATTTACTTCCGTTTCCTCATCTTTTATTTCTATTTACTTCCGTTTCCTCATCTTTTAGTTGTATTGGTTTATCTTTTAGTTGTATCGGTTTATCTTTTAGTTGTATTGGTTTATCTTTTAGTTGTATCGGTTTATCTTTTAGTTGTATTGGTTTATCTTTTAGTTGTATTGGTTTATCTTTTAGTTGTATTGGTTTATCTTTTAGTTGTATCGGTTTATGACATTGATGTATTTGCACATAACATCAATGTACAGTACATAACATCAATTTATAGCGCATAAACTCGATTGATACATTTGAGATATTTTGTCCGCTAAAAAACTTCATAAGAATCTATAGACTTGCTTTCTATTTTGAGCTTAACCACCGTTTAAGCTGAACGGGCTTCATGTACAACCGGCCCTGGGCTTCACTTTTAATAATAACAAACTTTATTTAAAGAAGGTACAATAGTAACAATACTCAATAGAAACCAGTTTGGCAGAGCTAATCTTACATACACTGGGCCTTCTGTCCTATTGGCCATGTATTACATAAAATTGTACATTAAACTATACTAATATTGGCTTCACTTTTTGGACTTGAATTCTTGCTCCAGATATGCAGTATATGTACATCAATGCCAATATATTCCAACTTCTTAAGGTTGACAGCCGATAAAGTAACTTGTATAACCATAAACGGTTAAACAAATTCAGTTATGGTTCTGGCCGAATTTTCCGGCTGAGACAGTTAGGTGAGACATTAATAAATACCTTTGCTACCAGTTGTAACAGGGACATTTCTTGGTCGACTACGGATATCAAATATAATTGGTCTTTGTACCCAAGGAATAAGAAAATGTGTTCCTTCATCAGTAACTTCATCCTTGACTCCTTGAAAACGGTCAAATATCACCGCCCTATGACCACCTTCAACTATTGAAAAACAACAGATATTCATGACTAGGGGATTATAAAATATAGATTGCCACTGGTGTTGTCAGTTTCAAATACTGTTTATAGAATGGGCATAAACTGACATAAGTGTACTGATATAAGAGGAAATCAATAGTACCGTAGACCAGGACCGCCGAGAGGGAGGGGGCAAATTGCTCCGCACCCCCAGAAATTTTTTGTTGGGCCCCAGTCATTTTTTTGGAAGAAATATTTCCGCGCAAAGGGCAAGATATTTGGTTTTTTGGGCAAAGTAACGAAATTTGGTATGAAAAATCGCTGAAAAGCAATCACATCGTACTCGTCCGGAAAAACGGGGGGGGGGGGTTGTTGTCCGAAAAATTTTTTTCCGGAAAAAAATTTGAAATAGGGGCCTCTAAAAAAAATTGCCCCGGGCCCCCGCCAAGCTCTCGGCGGCCCTGGTTTCTACTGCAGAGTGTGCATCCAAATTATGCATTCTGTGTTGGGTGCAGTTGCATCATACAGTAATATTGTATTATTGAGACTGGAAAAATTAAAATATGCATAATGTAGTGTATATTATAGTAAAATATACTGTTCATCATTGCACTTAAACTGCAATGGGCAAAACTTGCTGAAAGAACAATTATTTAATGGCCGGTTCTGTTATATATGTAGCTTTATTATATAAACATAAGTGTTATATGGAGTTTTTGGCCACTGAGAAAATCGTATTTAAACACACGTAAAAAATACGATATTTTTACGTGTGAAAATATCATTTGTTGTAAAACGCATTGCCACGGACGTTTCATTGTTTTTCACTGAATTTTGTTTATATAATAAACAGAAAAATACATAGGTTTTATATCTTTGTTGCTTGTATTCAGTGGCAGACACTTCACAAAATATTGGGGGGGGGGGTTAAACACCATGCAGGGGTCGGTTGTATAAAAAAGTGATTAAAGTTAACAATAGTTAGTGGAAACGTCATCCAATAAGAAGCACGTATTTGCGAGTTAATCACTATTTAACTACAAGATAGTGATTAAAAAAGTGATTAAGAGTTTTATACAACCAGCCCCAGGATGCCAAAGGGGTCAGGGATGGATCCAGCATGATCTGGTAGGGGGGGTGCAAATTTTTTTAGGGAGCCCTATTTAAAAATTTTTTCCGGAAAAATTTTTTTCCGGAGAGCAATGACCTCCCCCCCCCCCGTCGACAACTTTATAGGCAAAAAATTTTTCCGGACGAGTACGTTGCAATTGGTTAGTGACTTTACCCGTCTAGCAACCTGTTCCACTTCTGCAAAGTCTTGCTTGACTACAGTATTTGAATTGTAATTGTTGTTCACAGTTCGCTTTAATATCATCATGTTATTGCTCAAATTACTGAATCTCATTTTGTCTCTAATAATTTTTTGCTTTATCATGAAAAATAGCACCCCCCCTGGCCATGGCTAGGGGGGGGGTGCGCATCCCCCCGCACCCCCCCCCCCAGTAAATCCATCCCTGAAAGGGGTTTCGGTGCCCATTACTCCAAAGGCTCTAAGTTATGCAAGTCTGTTGGAACATGGGTCACTTGATGAAACGAATAAACATGCTATATCCGGAGTTGTGCCATTTAACAGACACTAGATACTTTTTTTCTAAGATAATCAATTAATCATGTCGATTTCAATTAATCATGTCGATTGGCTTTGTTGTTTAGTGTACAGTTATAACTATTAATTCTAATTGTTTAATAATAGTTATCAATAGAGCTGTAATTTATAGGCCCAGAGAAAGTTAATTTACAAAAATAAGTGTGAATTTGGAAAAGAATTAGGTTAATTTACAAAAATTTTAGAAAATTTTTGGATTTTAGAAAAAAATTTTTGATAAATGGAGAAAATTGCTGATATCCGGAAAAATTTTTTTACGTCACGAAAAATTTTGGCGACGGGGGGTGGGGGGGAGATCGCCCAAAAAAAATTTCCATGTAAAAAAAATTTTTCAGGTAAATTTCGAAATTTTGATCTATAGAGGTGCCCTTTGGTGTGCGTCTGCCCCCCCTTTGCCTTTTTATCGTTCCGGCGTCCCTGGCTGTAAAGAATCCCACACAGAATAAAACAGATTGTACAAAATGCGTATGTTGAGGCATCATTGGCATGCATTGTACAGAATCATATATTGCTGCTATATTGCTAACTTTAGCTTAAATTGTATTTAGTAATCATTTTTATTCAATATAAACAAGCTTTCGTTGGTAGAGAAGCAACTACCTGAAAAATGTTGAATTCTCCTTATATTTTTCAGATAGTTGCATCCCTAACATCTGAAAAATATAAGGAGAAATACTGCAAAATAGAGCTGCTAGAATTATCTTGAATACGATCTTGAATACGAATCACCACTCAAAACATTAAGGAAGAAAGCTAAACTAAAAATGATGTACTAGTATTAAATAAAATGGGTCCCAAATCACTCACAAATCTATTTTCATATACAGTAAATGTGAGAAAACAAACTATCGCCTTCGGGACATTTCAACTGGTCTTTGTTTACCAAAACCTCGTTCTAATAACATGAAAAATAGTTTCATGTACGACGGAGCAAAATTTTGGAATTCTATTCATAGCTACCAGAATGCTTAACGCAATCTTTTTATGTCAGGACTGTGGCATCTTTTTCATTTAAAACCTATAAATTCATTATATAGATCAATGAATTCACAAAAAGTTGTTGTTGCTAATTTAAAAGTTGCTGGCTAGTGTTGTGAAAATGCCGGTGGCTGCTATTTTAAATTAAACACTGAGTACACTCAGGGGTGGATCCAGCAAGGTTTTTCTAGGGGGGGGGGGGTGTGCTGGGTGAGCAACCGAGTGCTTCTTTATAATCCTTTAGAGGGTGGTGGGAAAGCATTCAAATGAATTGGCTTCCTAACGACTCGAGCGCCAAAGGCGCAAGCTCCCTAATGGGTCCAGGGGTATGCCCCCCAAAAGATTCAGAAAATTAGAACCCTAGAAATGCCACTTCCTGCAATATGAGCTTTAGTTTGACTTCAAAAAAGGAAAAACCTTGGAAATTATGCCACATTTCTGAATTTGATTTTTTGCAGCCCCATTGCAACCTTGTTGACCAAGGCCAACAGGGATGCGCACCCCCCTATAAATCCACTCCTGAGCACACTATAAAATGTCCATGACTCTCCCAACAGACCAGACCTGCCAACCTTAGCAACTGGTATATAGGGAGAATTGGCTGTTTAGAGGGAGAAAACCAATCAAAGCCTTTTTCATTAGAGCAATCAGATTAGCATCTCTTTCAAACTCCTAGCTACACTCGCAGCACAACAAACCCCTTAATGTTAAATTGGGCACTATCTTGGACTGAAAACACAACATGAAAATGTGTTTTAACAAACAAACAAACAAACACTTCAATTATTTGCTGTGCATTGATATTTCATCAGAAATCGGGATAATTGCCAGTTGCCAATACCGGGAGAAATTTTTCACTACCGGGAGATCACATAGACTCCCAGCTATGTCGAGAGAGTTGGCAGGTCTGCACAGACTGCAGAGTTGAGTAGTTTTCAATGAGATCTCGGAAGCGCAAAACCTAAGCATCTAGGGGCATGGGCATGGAACAGTTTCCAAGGGCACATCAAGACAGTCAGGGCACAAAAGTCACCAAATAGGTATGAAACACAATGTAGAGATCTGGGGCAGATTTTGAGTTTGAAAATGGAGGATTCCAGCTATACTCCTACAGACTAAATTTTGTTTGGGGACGGGGAGAAAAAATTGTTTCTGATAATAGTAAATGTATTAGGATATCCGAAGGGGGTAGGGGGATTAACTTCCTACCGTGGTATGGATGTTTTCTGGAATGACCCAATCAGGGCCGTAGCGAGGGGGGTATTGGGGGGGGAGTGGTTAACCCCCCCAACTTTTGTAGAATTAACATATTCGGAAAATCGTGTTGGCCATTCGGAAAATTACGGCAATAATAGTATATGCTTTTTGTACGAAAATAATGAGATTCAGGCAACTTATAGCTAATATTTGACATTTGGTATGTCCAAATTTTTTTGGCGGCGGGGGGGAGGTAGCCCAAAATTTTCGATTGAAAAAAAAATTTTCCTCTATCTTCATATGCCAGCTTCGTACGCCATGAAATATTCGGAAATTTTCTTCGTCATTCGGAAATTTTTGGCCTACACCCCCCCAGCTATACATGCTAGCTACGGCACTGGACCCAATGCTGTAAAATACGGAAAATATAGCCATGTGAAATTAGCAAATTTTTAGTATTTTAGTATTATGAACGGAAAAATGCACAACTTTTTGCTCAAAAGTGGTGCATTTTTCCGCGCGTAATACCAACATACTCAAAATTTGCTAATTTCAAAGGGCTATATTTTCCATATTTTACAACATTTTACAACCAAATTTGGCAGTTTTACTAATTTAAGGATGTTCTTTTGAGCTATAATGATAAATTTCATCCTTCTTGTCTGGATGAAAATAATAAACGTTTCCCTAAAAAAATCTTGAGCGCTACTTTGACCAACTCTGCAGTCTGGCTCTCCCCCTTGACAAGCAAAGCCATCTAGCATTGGACAGAGTAAAGTAATAAAGTGGTTAACTACAAAGCTCAGATTAATTTAATGACACAAAGATTGCATCATATTCAATACACAAATTTGACTGTTCAAAATCTATGTCCTTGTATTTGATCAGAAATTCATTTACAATGTATTTTACGAATTGTTTTACAGAAGACGTTAGCTAATACTGAAGTTTAATCTAAATCTCACACAATAGAGAGGCACGATATTCCACTTTTAATATACAAATACTAATGTTTTATACTACCAGAAATATGCGTGTGTTGAATTTTTGTACAGTTTCAAAAATCAAAATTTCATATTTCAAACAAACCCAAGGCTGTAAAGTACTCACCATTATACAGTGCGGTATTAACAACTCCCCCTACAACTGCTACACCGAGACCTAACGAGGCAATTCTGTTTAAAAAACTCGATACACTGGCAGCCATTTTGGAATTACCACATGTGCTGAGAAAGTATCATCGGAACACGCTCGGGAGTCGGGATACTATCGTAATACAATCTCGTTCCCCGAGCCTGCGATCCTCGGGAAGGAACCACTGAGCTATAAAGAGCTATACTATATTACATATTAATAGTTAACTACAATACTACAATACTATAATTACATACTATATTACATAATAACATTACTATTATTATACAGCTCAGTGAAAGGAACGCGAGCACGCGAGGCTCCGGGATAATCCTAGAACATCAGTTATTTGAATAACTAAATTATATAAGTTCTCGACGATTAAGAGATGCCTGCGGAGGAGGCTAGGATAATCCGTTGCCGGAAGCCAGGAATCCTGGCTAAGATTGAAGTGCGCATCATTTCAACGGCCAATCAGATTCCTCCCTGAAACGGATTATCCCAGAGCCTCACGTTCCTTCCCGAGGATCGCAGGCTCGGGGAATGAGATTGATCGTAATACATAACACCACTTGCCCAGGGTTTTCTTTGGGGAACCCTGGGTACGAGGTTGGAGGTATCACTGTAGCAAACTGGGCGTTTTTTTGCAGTGTAGTGTCCCCACTTTTTTGCGACAAGATTGACACATGGATCAGTGAAATAGGCGGAAAATTAAAAGAGGGCGACGAGAAAATAAATATTTTAGAATTGTGGTTGAACGAAACGAGAATTGGAGATCGGAAAAAAGAAACTGGACTTTCAAATGGAACTTCATGTGGCCAAAATGAAATTACCATCTCAGCAAATATTAAAACAAAGAGTCAAAAGAACCGATGTCAAGTGAGATTTCTAATATTTCTATCCCAAAAGTTTGCAAGCTAAACTGCCGAAATTGACAGTTACAATATTTGATGGATCGCAAATCAGAATATAGGCCGAAGGTCGAGATTCATTGCGATTTCACTGCAATGAAAAACGATGCAATACAAATCCACCGGTTCACTCGAGCCCAACCTCGTACCCAGGGCTTCTGCGCTTATTGCTCTCAGAAGCCCTGGGATAATCCAAACCGTAGCCTGCGTGCAGGCCCAAGGGAACTGATAGTGGGCCTGCAACCATCACCCCATGTTTTCGATTTTCGCCGGCCGAACCGCCGGCTAAATTCCCATTGGCTAGCTGAGGCAATCGGTAATTAATTAACCTAGCGTGCAGGCCCAAGGGAACAGTGATTCATCACAAAGGCATAGACAAAGGCTCTCGATAAGCTTAAAATTTGAAAATTGATCACTTTTTTCGATTACAAATGGAACAAGAACAGACTGTTTATTGTTTACTTGAAGGAAGGCATGTTTTTGCCGTTATGCCAATGGGGATTGCTTGTCGTGATGTGTTGGAATAGCAAATTACGACTGGGGTAAACTATAGTAACCTTTACTTGAGTTTCATTAATTTCAAAGAGACTTCAGTTGATACGTTATGTGTTCTCACTTCCTCAAGAAAATTATTTTTTGGTTGATGTTGAGATGCAGTTGCATGTAAGGACTGTAAGCCTATTCGAAACACTTACAAGGCTTCGCTGAGAGAGCGAAACAGAAGGCGGTATTAAATTGCCGTTTGAAACGAAACGATCTGGACTTGGAACGCTCTCTTCTTTTGTAGAGTTCTTTACCAAATGAAATAAATGAAATAAATTTCGTACTTTCCGCCGCCAACAAGAATTGCACACACGATCTGATAAGTGAGACAATTTATTTATAAAAATGCCAATGGCGACAGCGAAGCACACATAATATAAATCCTAATGTGGTCGCCCGACTTCCCTCATGATTTGAAGTTTGAGACTGGTTTTCTGTTGAAATTCGTCCTAATTTGCCTGTTCCGATTTTAGTTGAAAATGAGCACTTGCAAATTTGGCAATTACTGACTGCGTTGCTTGCTTTTTGGGAGTTAAAACGCATCCATTTACACATTGTTTATTAGTGTTCTGAATAAGCAGAGAAAACCCCGCTACATTTTAATGCGAGTTTGTTTGTTAATATTTGGGTGCTGTCATTGGTTCTTTTTTGACAATTGACGCGCGAATGGGGCGTGTTATGAAAAGGGGCGTTTTACAAAATACCGGGCGATGGTTGCAGGCCCACTATCAGTTCCCTTGGGCCTGCACGCAGCGTCACTTGTGCAGCGTCACGGTTATTGAGCTCATTGTATTTTCGTATAATTAAGTAATCGTCCAATAAAGATAGCTGAGATGAAAGGTGCCAGCCACGATGAATAATATTTAATGAAGTTGAGACAAAGGATTTGTGCATGGTGAGGTCCAGTTCAACATCAAACAAAGGCCTTCTATTTTAAGCTTTGAAGTTTGCCGCGAGGTTTGCCGGGCTTCCAGACCAAAATATTGACAGACTATGACACGAGGTAATTTAATTGCCCAGCACATTGCGTTGATGGTCAGTCATATCTCATTATTTCATTGCAGATTTATTCAACAGTCTTTTATTGACATGGAAAATGTTTTTGATCTCATGAAAGAGAAACTAGAAGTAAGTGAATGAGAGTATTAGTCATTTTCATTATGTATTTCAGGTATTTATAATGTTACAGTTTTGTATTCCAAGAATTCTAAGACTATCCAATCTGAGATTAAAAGTCGTCCATGGCCAGAAATCAAGGACATAATTAACATTGTTGAAAGGTTTTTGTAGATGGAATGGTACGTTTGAAAGAAACAGGAATACGTAATGAGGCAAATTAAATGTAGTAACGTATACTTTGGCTCAAATACAACAATATAAGCAATTATATTTTCCCCGTTCTGGGTTGCCAAACTCTCTTATACTTGCATTTACGCAGCCGTTCCTTGTTAGGTGTAAAAATGTATGAAATTTTCGCTCAAAATTTCCATCTACAAAAACCCTTCAATATTTATATCCTTCAATATTTATATCCAAAATCCTGATATTTACTCATCATTAACGTTCTACTTCCTTATACTAATTTGCATTTCACGTTAAAATATGGCTTCAACTGTGAATATAGTAAATTGTGTTACGAGTGATGTTGTAAATAGCAAAATATGAAAATAAGGTAGGCCGTTTGCAACTTGTCCTGATTGCTGGTAGCAAAACAAAGCATGTTGAAGTATTTATGTATTTGATTGTTTTGCTTCACATTTCCAGCCATCCTGCTTTTCCTTTGTACCGAAGCTATATGTGAACATGATATGTAAATTAGTGAGGAAGAAGAATATATCATGCCCGTAATTTTGTGGCTATCTGCCTTGGGCATTCAACAGAAATTTCTCCAAGGCAATGTCAATAATCACAAAAAGCAAGCAGGTGAAGAGGTTGTGAAAATGTCAGATGCATCCACATATTAACGACATATAGTTGCATTTTTCGCAGCTGTTCCTGGTTAGGTCTAGTAAATGTATTTGAAATACTCATTAAAAATTCATAAACCTTGTGTCAAATCATATCAGCCATAACATGTCACGTGGAGTGACTTTATATCTGATAAAACTCATCTTCATTAGTATTCTTTATATAAAAATTTTATTGTTCATCCTAATTAGTATGATTATATAATCGTTCATCCTAATTAGTATTCTTTTGTTGTCGTATTTTAAGCTATTCAAAACACTCGAACTCGCGTTTTATCATATCTAAAACGCTCGGTTGCGCCTCGCGTTTTAAATATGACAAAACACTCCTTCTCGTATTTTAAATACTACATAAAATTTACACTCGATCATTTCCATCTACAAAACTCATTATTATTATTCCCGAAGTTCAATATTTAAGGGTTACAGATGACCCTATAGACTTTCTACAAGTCGCCCGCTGGGTTGGTGAGTGTGTGGAGGCGACATAAATATTTTCGTGTTCATTGACTGTGAAAACAATCAATTTCTAAAGAAATGAATAATGATAATAATTTTGAATTTGCATAGCGGGACTAAATTGTCGCTGGTAGCCTAGTCATCAAGGAAATGGGGATTCTGAAGTGAAGGACTTTGGAAAGTCAAGGATGTTCTATAAATCTACAAGTATTCAATAATTGAAATAACTGTTGTTGGTTATTTTTCTTGCTGTTATATAGATTAAAGATATTCCTGATGCTCCTCAGCTTATAGTTGACGGTGGATTAATCAAGTTCAACAATGTTCATTTTTCGTACGAGAAAGGGTAAATACTGCTTATTGTACTCTTGCCCCGATGGCCTCGTTTTCATGTGGTTATTTTCTCATGTTTGTTGTCATTAAGCGACAAAAGTTACTATGGAAAAATGAATGTACATTGTGTTAAATATAATTTTTGTTCTTACTATAGTAAAGAAATTTTAAAAGGTATATCTTTCCTTGTAAAACCTGGTAAAACTCTTGCTTTGGTAAGTATATAATTCCAATTCTGATGTAACTAGAAATACATGCATGCAATAATACGTGTATGTGGATTAATCCCCCACCCCTCGCCTATATTTTCCAAGCATTGTTTCAACATGAAGTATTCTAAATTACTCCAACACTGAACGCAGACTCGCGTTGCTCGTGTCGTGTTAGTCATGGCAACACGGTCATTGTTTCATTGTTTTTTTAAAATTATTTTTGTACAAAGTGGAAAAAAATGAATGAAAATTAAACACTTGTAACTGTAGAACTATCAATTTCTAAAATTTATAAAGTTGGTATTTTATTTTGCATTTTATGGGCTTTATTTTAATGTAAAATTCAACACGAACGCTCCATAAAACGTTTTTAAATGTTCATGGAAATGAACTGCATGCTTAATTTGCCTTCGTACTTTGAAACTAATTTTAAATCATGGAAATATTAAGTTGCTCTTCCTTTTAGTTTGATTTTGTTTCATTTGCTCTCCTTTAGTTTTAAACTTTCACACACAAAGAAAAGGAAAGCTGTACATGTTTTAGGCACAAATTGAACAAAGTCACGTATAAACAGTCAACAAACATACCCTATAGCTACTTCAGGCTTTTCTCGTACTAAACCAATTCTTATCGTTTCTTTAAAAATGGGAAAATGTTTTACAACTTAATGTGTGAAACGATTTACCTAGCTTTCCTACATGTTTTTTTACATCTTTGCTTTCTTCAATCCTGTCAAACAGGTATATTTTTGAGATCAGTGAGATGGGTGTAAATAGCCGAGTAGAATTAGTACCCCTGCCACGGGCTCCACACGAGTGGCTCGGGGAAAATGTTGCTTACGGTTACCATTTAAAACCTCCCTATCTTTGCTGCTTAATTTGCTACGAAAACTGCAATCTTTCCCTCACCAATCTTCTACTGAAACAAACTCAATAATTCAGAAGGAGTCAACTCCCACCCCAATAATTTCTGAAAGCCTTTAAATGATAGCTGAATAACTGTGGTAGTATAACAAGGCATGTAGTAAAACACTGACTACCGGAACACCGGAACACCACCGGAACACCGGAACACCACCATTTTGTTTAGGGTTTGGGGTTAGGGTTTGGGGTTAGGGTTAGGATTGGGGGGTTAGGGTTGGGGTTCGGGTTAGGGTTGGGGGTTAGGGTTGGGGTTAGGGTTAGGTGGTGTTCCGGTGGTGTTCCGGCGGTGTTCCGGTGGTGTTCCGGTGTTCCGGTAGTCAGTGTTTTACTGCATGCCGTATAACAAAGCTGTAACAATAGTTTTTGAACCATGAAAGAATTGATAGTACAAGTTACAGTTATACATAGTACAAGCTACAGTGTATGCACTGTGTGAAATTTGAAGCAAAAAGTTTTCAGAACTAAGATTCCCACCTACAAAAGCAGAGTTGCAAAAAAGCTGCGAGTATGAGGGTACCACCCGTGGGGAAGGTTTATATACCATATGTGAGGTCATTGAGGAAGTGTCGAACATTCTTCCCCAGACTGTATTAACACTATAAAAAATAAATGACACAGTTGATCAGGCAGATTGAGGTTGGCAGGATGCTGATGTTGTACTGGTAGTTATGACTAACAACATTTCTTTACGCTGTAGGCTAGCAGTAGGAACCTTCTGTGACTGGCGTTTCGGCGGCAATCGTATAACATATACATCTAGATATAGTTGGCAGTCCGTATACATGATTGTCACATGTTGGCAACCTAATTCACTCAATTTGATTGTTCTTATTCACCATACATATCCATCATTTAGTGATATATATTATATTGGTGTTATTACATGAATTATATTATATATCTTGTTGTCCAGGTTGGTCCATCAGGCAGCGGCAAGAGTACTGTTATTCGATTATTGTTTCGATTTTATGACATTGACTCGGGATTAATTAGCATTGATGATCAAGACATCAGTAAGGTACAGTATTTATATCTATGTACAACTGTAAAGTTTTTGGTGTAGCAATTAGCCATGCAAACATTTCTTTGTGTTTTCTTGTCTTTATCGTTTTGAGAAGCATACTGCAGACATATCGGGGGCTTCCTGAAAGACTAGAAAAGACAAAGAGAGATTCCGCTCCGCGCGTAAAATTCCACCTAGTGGAAAACGGTCTTAATACTTCTCGTACCGTGTAATTTCCGATACAAATTGTTCATGATTATGAATTATATTTAAGGTTTCTCAGAAATCCCTACGTCAACACATCGGAGTTGTTCCACAGGATACGGTGTTGTTCAATGACAATATAAGGTATGTCATGTATTACGGTCCATTCAGATTAGTCTAACATGTTGGTCCTACATCATCCTGTATTGTCAGTCGCAACATGCATGTTGGGTCTGTGTGAGCGTTGTGTTTGGTAATGTTGGCTGATGATCACGTCCTCAGAATCACGTTCAGATTTTCCAACATTGTTGGACCAATTTTGGTCTGTTAGACTGACTGAAACAAGTCATTCCCACTTTGTGCTGTAAAATGTAAATTGCAAAAGGTTCCTTTGTCACAACACAAATTAGCCGCAGGAAATGAAGACATCTTAAGTATTTGTATTGAGAAATGCTGTTTGCCGAGTTGGGGGATTTCATTTGAGATTCAATTCAGAATATTGTGGGGGTTTTTTTAATTACAGTATTTATTATTAGCATGACAAAATTACTGGATGCTGATTGGTTGAGAGGAGTACAATTATTTCATTAATTGTACTGCAGTACAATTAATGATTTTCTCAAAACAAACAAAATGGCGGAAAGGTATTTTAAACACAAACATGAACTGAAATTGCCCGTGAGGAACTAGATGAAAATACGAACAAAAGCACCAAATTTTGCTTGAACAAAAGAACTAAATGAAAATACAAACCGAAATAGATTAACTACCGAAATAGATTAACTCAAACACTAAACTCGTGTGTAATATTCACATTTTGCGTTTCCCAATAGAATTTCATTCATGACTATTTCTTCTCTCAGCTAAGCTTTTCTCCAACAATGCTCTTTGTTGACCGATTGTATTTTTGTATTTGCGCCAGCCGATATAATGCCAGGTCTGTAAGTGTGATATATGGCCAATAAGCAATAGCGACGTAATGCTCCCACAAAGTTACGTAATATTCCCTAGAGCAAACAATCCAAGATGGCGACTACAAAAAAGAGTTGATCTGTTCGTACAAATGAGAATCAGAAAGTGAAAAAGTCCGTAACTGCGGGTACTATGGCAACAATGACGTTCCAAAATGGCTGCTAATTTTCATTTGAACTAGCTTAATTCGAAAACAGCGTCGGTGACCCCCAATTTTTATTTTATTAAAAGTTTTTTTCTAGTATGAGCAATCATTAGGACAATTTTTGTTGCATGCCATATATGGCATGCAACTTTCATATAGCTCTAAATTTCGTGTGGCGGAGAGCGGTGAGAGGTGAGCGGTGAGCGTACTAGTCACGTGGCAGATTCGTAAAATACGACAAATACCGAGTTTTTCCGATGAGCATTTTCATGCCTAGTTTTCGTCGAGGAAACGCAAAGAAATATTGATTATTCGCCGAAAATTTACATAATTGAGCGCCTTTACTGTTTTTAGCTTACCTTATATTCTGTTATTTGCTGTGATTTTGGAGCCGTTGTGCTCGCACTGATTATTTATCAATTATCAGGCGTTTATATTTATATATCGTGAAAGCCTCATAGCCGCGAACGCTATCAAAATACTCAAGCCATTGTGCTCGCACTGATTATATTGTGTGCAAAGCTTCAAAACTTATACAGCACATTTTGTAAATAACATGATATATAAATATCAAACAAAATTTGAATTATAAATAGTATTTATACATACTATTGAAATTTAATACAACGAAATAGCAACCATTGTGAAGTACGCATAAGATTCAACATGACATTCAACATGACATTCGATATAGTGTAAATTAACTCATTTCAATCACTCAAACGTCAAAATGATAAATAATAATCATTTTCAATCTATTATAGTAATTCACCGTTTTCACGGGTTTTTATACCTTTAAAAAGTTACAATAAAGCTAAATCTAATGGAAATAACGTTATTTAGTTATAAATTTGATAAAACCTTGACCAAAACTTGTCCTTATTATTGTTATTGTTATTATTACCGTCGCTTGCAACTAACTATTAACGGTCGCTTATAGAAACATTGCCTATTCGCGTATTTCTGCTGGGGTCTACACCGTAGGCTAATTCGCGTGAGAATCTTAAGTTTTCTTATTTTGACATAATAGCTATTTTTCAATAAATATATAGATGTTTTAAACTTATTGAATCAATATTTTAAGTTTCACGCCAGTTGTACCAAAGGATTATATAAGCGCTATAGCGCACCATAAGTTTCAGATGGCATGCAACATGTACGCACTGCGTACCTATTTTTAAAACATTCTGTGGATCCAAAATTTTTCAAATCGAAAAGAACGTGTTTATTCCTGAGAAAAAATTTTTGGATCACAGAATTTTTTTTAAATTGTCCTAATGATTGAGCATACTAGAAAAAAACTTAATAAAATAAAAATTGGGGGTCACCGACGTTGTTTTCGAATTAAACTAGCTTAAATGCAAATTAGCAGCCATTTTGAAACGTCATTGTTGCCATAGTAACCATAGTTACGGACTTTTCCGTTACAGTTTCTGATTCTCAACATACTGTTCTATACAAGACATCTGGTTTCATTCTTCTATAAAAATACCAATGTACAAAATTGTCGGAAATGTGTCTTTTCCACTGTAAGGAGCCACCTTAATTAAGCCAGTTGTGAATCACTTCTGAATATTGTTTCGGTATTTTTGTAAAGATATGGGGCATGATCTCTATACAACATCTCACATATTTTACGGTGAATGTAAAAAGCGGGATGACCGTGTGGGTTACTTAAGGTGAGGGTTGCGGTTAGGGTTAGGATTGGGGTTTGGGGTTCAGTACTTTAGAGTCAAAGAAAATATCAAAATTTGCGTTCGCATGCCATTCCGCACACACTTCACATGTCATTCCGCCTCACATATTTTGTTCGCTCCTCCCAAATTTATCCCTATATTTTCCCAATGAAGAAATTTCCCCTCGGGAGACATACCGTACATTCAGGTGACACTATGAGGAAATTTGTGCCAGCAAGGGGGGGGGGGAGTTTCTTTTTGTGGGGTATTTATATGTTACATGACCTCGTGCTAATACTCTTTGTAGATACAATATCCGTTATGGTAGAGTAGAAGCAACTGATGAAGAGGTGGAAGATGCAGCAAGTGCTGCTGATATTCATGAACGTATTCTTTCTTTTACAAACCGTAAGTTGTTATTGCTGTTGTTTCAGCTTGTTTTACCGTCATACGAAATCTGATAGCTTTGGCACTTTTTCGCTTTGCTATGCGTGTTTCTTTTTGACAAAATTGTTGAAAGTTTATTTGAGTTGAAACATTACTCTCTGATCGAGATTTGTTTTTGCTTATTTCAATATGCACAATCTGTTAACGAACATGAAGTATTAACACATAATGCCAAAAACAACAAGAAATGTGCAAGTGTACTTCGTCAGAGAGTAATAAAAGGGCAGTGCATTTTGATGAGCGTTGTTATCAGCACTGGCAGAATTTATGCAGTTGAAAATTTTTTAAAGTATCCATTGAGAAAGAAGAAAGTATTTTATATCAGACATTCAGACTTTCAAAGAATTAGGATTGTTCGTACACGTTTGTAACTGAATGAATTTGCGTGCAGTTCCGAACTCCATTCACAGTCGTGTGAACGTACTCTAATACTTCAAATTGAAAATGTTGTTTCTTTTTGCGTCTGTATCATGGGACCTTGTATTTATCATCTGTAGAATACGAAACGTTGGTAGGTGAGCGAGGTCTGAAAATAAGTGGAGGAGAAAAGCAACGTGTTGCTATAGCAAGAACTATATTAAAAAACCCACCATTAGTTCTTCTTGACGAGGTAAACATTATTCGTATTAGTTTATTTACTGTCCTTTATTAATATCAATTGTTTAATATTGTGCATTTGCCATACTTATTTCATAACCCAACTATTTAATATGTCCATCAGAAGGAATATTTTCTATTCAATTGAGTCATATTGAGCAAAGCAAAATAACATATTCAGATCCTGTGTATAGATGTAACTTTTGACAACTATTTTAATCATGCAGTATATCTGTCAAGGTGACATTCTTAAGAAATAAACATATATTAAGAAAAAGTAAAATCTGGCGTGCATTTATGTAAATCAGCAAAGATATAATGCTACTTTAACCCATTCTTCTGAAATCTTTCAGGCCACATCAGCGTTAGACACACAAACAGAAAGGAATATACAAGCATCTTTAAGCAACATGACCTCAAATAGAACAACAATTGTTGTTGCTCACAGGTACAGTAGCAGAACAATTTTCTTATAAAATATTTCACCCCAAAACATAATCTTCCTCTCATAACGTACCATTAACAAAAATCCTCTCCTCTCCAGTTGTGCAAGATTGAGTCTATAGTTTCAATAAATAAATCTGATAATACTACACCAGCATTCTGGTTCATATATAGAAACCACACAGTTTTCTTATAATGGATTTTGTTTCAAAACAGTCTGATGTGTGTTTATGGTAGTACGGAAAATTCACATTGCATATTCCATAATTTATATTATGTGAAATTCAGGATCTTTCATATGAAATTTGACTTTCCAAAATATGTTTTTTAACATGTAAAATTTAAAGGTTTATATTATGCGAACGTTGATTTCACATGTGAAATTATTATTTAATATGTGGCATTGAAATATTTCGGAATTTTCAGCTGTGAAATCGTATGTGAAATTTTGATAAACTTCTGTGCATGCAGATATTGTGCGCGAGTTCGCAGAAACCTAGTAGTATAATTTTTTTTCTGAAATAGTCTTACGTTTATTGTAGGCTTTCAACCATAGTTAATGCTGATCAGATTCTAGTACTCAAGGAAGGGGATATTGTGGAAAGAGGACGGTAAGCGCTTTTCCTTTAAATTTTCCTACAAATGTTTTTTTCATCAAAGTGAGGAAGCTATAAAATGTTAAAAAAAAATTATTTTGCGGATGTGTGGTATTTTCCTGGAAAAAAATGATGAAAATTCTGATGTTTTAAGCGAATTTAGACCTTTTTCTATTCGTAATCTATTTCTATTCTATGTGAATCGACATACTGTAGTAACGTAATTAAAATGCATGTAATTGATCTATTTTGTCCGTGACTGGATAATATATATAGCTTTTTACACTTGAATTAGAATATTATAGGGCTTGAAAGTTCGATTGACGTTTATTAAAAGAACCCCAGTTAGTCTAAGTTATGTTATAATTATAGTATATTTATCTTAATTTTCATTCTTCTTCAACGATTCATTATGATTATTTCCTTATAGACACCAAGAGCTGTTGGATCGACAAGGTATATATGCAAATATGTGGCAACAACAGTTAACGGCGGAGCAAGCCGATGAGAAGGATAATCAAGAATAATATTTTCCAATGGAACTACTGTTAATCTTTAAATTTATTGGACTTATAGCTGAATAATTGTGTAACAAAAATTAATGTAACAATTTTTCAACCATGAAAGCATCGGTAGAATAAAAATTCAGCTGTATATTGCATGAAATTTAAAGGCACAATTTAAACAATCATACTTTATTTTCTTTACATACTTTTTACATACTTTACATAGTGGCAAATATTAAGTTTACGACCATCATTGCATGTTAATCCGTCCTCCTTGCCCTGTATTTTAAAATATCCCGGAACCTCCGTGCCCCGCATTCTAAAATTTCTGATAGGAAAACTTATACGGCGGTAGCGAAAAAAGGGGAGTCCATATTCATCAATGGTTTGCATTTTGTTCTATAAAATACCATGACCTTCTGTAATGAAATTGACATAACAGGGCAGCCATGTTAAAATACGATTTAATAATTGTTTTAGTATAGGACCAAATGAAAACCTCTGCACCGGACTCTTTTTCTATGCACTTGTCTTATTTACTCCTGCGGGGGATCGATGCTATATTTAATAGTTATTCTGCGAACTTGATTCGTATATGAGCTAAAAACCGCTTGGCCTTGAAAATTTGAAATGTTTTTGTTTTACAACTCGAAGTGAAAGAAATGGTTTTAGAAACGGTACATCTCACAGAAAAGCTCAGATATATTATACAGATGTTTGGTAGTATAGTATGCATTTGCTTGTTGACTGCAAATTTATTTGTTTTTCGTTGCGAACGTTTCTAAACAATTTATATTCTCGATGATGGTGTTATTTTCGCTGGGTTTTTTTGTATTGATTATTTTTAAAAAGCTTGTATTTAAACTAATTTCTATGTAATAAATGTATTTTGCTAACTTTTTTCTTGTACTATTGTCTTTCTCAAAGCGAATATTGTCCTTTTTTCTGCTTCGCAAAACTCTTCTAGTTTTTGGGCCGCCATCTTGTTTTTCGCTACTCGCGGTATATGAGCGATGATATACGGCGAGTAATTCAACCAATCAGGTTGCAGAATAAGTGGATGACTATAATCAGTAATATATGCCTTACCGATCGCAGATCACACTTTATCACAGACCGATAAAGCCACGAAGGATTCCTTCCCCCCACAACGCTCATTGCCTTAATGAAAGTTTGAAAAAATAAATAAACACGCTTTTGGAGAGAATACAATTTAGTCTAGAGGTAATCAAATAACGTAACTGGTTGGAAACATGATACGCGCAGTATACAGTATATTCTCCTTATTATCGGGAAAACGAAGGCACTCGCGTAACTAGATGCACATAGATTGCAACCTCTCAGATCGTTTTGCACCTCCTCCCCTGAAAAGCCGTACCCCTCCCCTTAAGAAAGGTTAATGACAGATTAAAGTGGAAATTTATCAATTTTGTGTATTCTTTGGGGTCTACTCGTTGTAAGTAAGTAATGGATGTAATGAAGGGCAAAAAAGGGTACGTTATAAGCCCTAACATTCCATGGGAGCCGTGACGGCTAGACTGCTGCACCTTCCCTAATTATTTTCCACCGGCCTTTTCTCCGTCAAATGCGTTAGATTCGACATATGATAAGTTCGCTTCAATCGCGAGGTTTCCCCATCTCGAAGGGCGAGTGCAAATTGAAGGCTGTATAACACTCACGAGTGCATAGGTCTTTCAAAATTGCATGAGAAAACATACTTTTATACTTATATTGATCTCAAACTCATTAATAATTCACGAGTTCGCCTCGAACTACTAATTGTGCGGACTGGATATCTGGTAAAGTCCTCGTAGTCGGAGTTTATATATTACATAATTATACAGACACAAATTCATGCTTGTTTCCATGCATGAAGCATATGGAAAATAAATAATTTACTCACTCATTTGAATGACAGAACAACTTCATTTTCATACAAGTTAATTTTCAATTGTCAGAACGTGCTTTATTTTGACGCTTGCCGCGTATTTCCTTTTTTGGCAATGTATTTCTATTTCCATAAATTGCCCTCTTAGCCGTCTCGGCAGAGATTGAGCGTGTTACGTTCGGGAAATAACCCACTTAACTCTCGTATAATCTACTTGATTTGTCTATATGACATTACGGTACTTGACTGTCCTAGAAGTAAATAATTTTTCCAAAGGGGTACTTATGTGAGGCGTCTGTATTTGCAGGCTGAGGGGTACTGCACTCCAAAGATCTCTGTCGATGATAATCACGAGTGCCCTAAAATTACTACCTCCTCCGCAGGCGCTTAGGGAGCATTTCGGGCAGGTTCGGAAAATGCGGGTCACAGGCGAGAGCGCCTGCCGAGTAATGTTTTCAAGATGGCGGGTGCTATAAATCGAAATTTTCATTTTGACTTTACTAATTACTATTATGACTTAATATACAACATACATACCAGCACTGATTTAATAGATCTAAATAATATTTAGAAATAGCATCCAGTGGTCTTGGTAGACTAAAAAGTACTTATAACTAGCCACCGCTTTTCGATGCCGATGGAGACTGTTTTATAAAGTGTTTATACAATGCAAATACAACAATAACAACATCAACGATATTACATGCATCTACATATTTTGCTACTAAGCCTATGATAAGCCATTTCAAATACTTTAGATATGATTCAAACATCAGTCTGCATGAAACAGTAAAAGCACAATTTGAAAGATGGATATGGTGAAAAACTGAAAATATATTTGCATATTAAAAAATACATTCACAATGTATTAAAATAGAAGTAATATAGCGTCTCATTGTTCGCTTGTTCTTTGTCTTTTGAGTGATAATAACACAATGTCTGCATGTAGAACTCCATTACCACAAAAATCTACATACCAAGTCCATTTCAAAAGACGATATATTGAGAGTATCGACATCGCTGCCGTCGAACGACCAGCATAACTTATGTCAATATGTCATATGCCCAAAAATACTGTTTCATGTTTCAGCGGATCAAATTTCTTCAGAATGTAATTCGAAACAAATCAGAAGGCCCAGAAGATAAAAGACGTCATGTCGCGGATGGTGGGATGTGGATGAACAGCAGATCTTGGTGCACTTTAAACTTAAATAATATTTCTCTGTATTTTCTGCGTTCTCGTATAAATATGACGCCGGTCGTATATCGATTTCTTTCTTTATTTGCCGTATTTCCATTTGATATTTTTGTCAGCAAGTCCAGAATTAATCCAGCTTACGTGAGAAATTAATTTGAACTAATGATGGACGAAATTTCAAAGAGATTTTTTTGGATTCCCGATTCCTCTGTATTTTCTGCATTCTCGTCCAAATATGACGCCGGTCGTATATCGATTTCTTTCTTTATTTGCCGTATTTCCATTTGATTTTTTGTCAGCAAGTCCAGAATTAACCCAGCTTACGTGATAAATTAATTTGAACTAATGATGGACGAAATTTCAAAGAGATTTTTTTGGATTCCCGATTTTCGACACATATTCCCGATTTTCGACACATTATATGGCACGTACGCGCTTCGCTTCAAGTTCTAAAAGTGGCCCGCAAAAATTTGCACCGCCCGCAAATGTGCCCGGAAAAAGGGCCTGCGGAGGAGGTAGCTAAAATTATATTTTGCCCTTTTTTTAGTTTTTTATTCCGTCGTACCAAAAACGCGCATTTTATGATGCGCATGTGTTTGAAACGGCGGTAACAAACTGAAACTGATGGATAATAAAGAAATGGAGAAATAGGTCATAAACAGCGTTGTATGACGAGTTTTTTATTTACTAAAACTGTATTTTTACCATACTTCTAAATTATGAATTCAAAACTCAAAACAGACGCCAATTAAAATAATTTAGAAATTCAATAAGCGATTCAATCTCGTACACGAGTGAAGATAGAGAGAATATTTAAAAAACAGTTTCTGAATGGCGTTTCACCAACACTTCAAACACTTGAGAACAAGAGAATTCGTGCACTGCGCTAATCATTTCGTTGGCGACACTTCCAAGACAGAGTCAGAACGCGAAGGCGACACTAAAATGTTTCAGATCGAATTTGCATGAAAATTCTGAATCCAGCCTCGCAAAACTTCGCATCTCAAATCCAAACTCGCCAAAATTCGCCAAAATTTAATCCAATTCAAACCTTTAATAAGGACAACTTTTCTAAAATGGCCAAAAGAAAAATTTCACAAATTATAATATCTGATTAGACCTAATTCAGGGTGGTCAATGAGTAAATGAACTCCGTGCTCTGCAGCTCAGCTGCAATTAAAACTGGGATTTGTGGTATGTGATGACGCACGTAGACCAAATAAAATTTTCAGATAACGGAAAGTTTACATAACAAATAAACACCGATAACGTAGTTGACCCCAATAAACAAAGTGATCAGAGTGACAAATAGCAATTTTTGGCAGGTACTGAATATATCATGGTAAGCGTCTTATGTTAGTCATATGATGAGCGACAACAAAGTCGATAACGATAGAATAAATCGCGCGTTGAAAAATTTTTTGACTGGAAGCACGATTTTTAAAGCCAGCTTGGTCGCTACGAAAAGTTGTCGGGATTGCGGAAACGACAGAAAACATGGAGCGAGGATACGTGATTTAAGACGCTATAGCTTCTTAAGTATTGTCGACCAACCCGGCTCTAAAACTAGTTGCTTAGTTTATTTGTCTTGCTGTATGATGTATTGTGGATCGGATATAAATGATCAAGGCTTTAGTTTTGGAGAGCGTGCATGGGACACTATAATTGCGCCTAATTGCTGGAATGGCACATTTATGTACTATTTAAAACACGCATAGGGGTGTGTTATCATATTTAAAATTCAAGTGCGCAGCATTAGCATTTTAGATCCAAATCTGTCGCTTTCACATTATCATAAAATGTGTCTAAATGCATGAAATAGCGTTTCGCAGACACTAAAAATGGAACATTTTTCAGGGGAACCACGCCCCCGGACGGACGAATCCCTAGTTGTTTTGTGTATTCGACGTTAGACATCCCACTCGTTTGGGGCTGGCTACACCCCTGGCGAGGGTTATGCAGGAAAATGTGCCTTCCTGTAATTAGGCACACACCCAGGGGACAATAATTATGGCATTTGATGTGTTATCGTTGATGTTTCAATCTATACAAGGGCAAATACGCAGTTTTATCCACTTTACGTCAATCATATCGTAAAGGGGCTGCCTCCTCCGCAGGCCCTTACTGTTTGTAGATCAGTGTATATATAGACATATCAGTTTAATATATAGATCAGTGGCTGAACAAATCTGTTGTGATTAAAGGGGTGTAAAATTCGTACTGACTCAACTCTTTCAAACGAGACTCGCTTTTCAAAAGATGTTACTTCAGTCTCTCGTACAGGCACGAACTGACTTGACATTCTCGTCCTATTTAAATACACGCATGGCTTGATTAAAATTATTCATATATCCTGCCTTAACAATTTTACAGTCCTACTTCAACTACAAATCTACGCTCAACTAATAACTCTCTTATCACATACAATTAACATCTCTAAAGTTAGAACGCTATGCCACCAAAACAGTTATGCGATACGTGTTTCGCGAGTTTTGAATTCCCTCCCATGATGAGCTCGTAAATCGGACATCTCATTTTCAAGACCTTTAAAATAAAATCTAGTCGCTTAATTTTCTACATCTCAGCAATATTAACCTTGTTTGACCAGGACAGTCCGCAGACGCGGAAATCTGTTTGTCTGAAGTGTCATAAAGCAAGACAGCTTATAAACATTAACGAAATGTTGCTTTTAGCACAGACCAGTAACGTAACCAGAGGAGGGAGGGGGGACCCGCACGCCCACACCTCATGGCTAAATATTGGGCACTCCTTGGAAAAATGCTGACCAGTACAAGCAT